TTCTTTCTTTCTTTCTTTCTTTCTTTCTTTCTTTCTTTCTTTCTTTCTTTCCTCCCTCCCTCCCTCCCTCCCTCCCTCCCTCCCTCCTTCCTTCCTTTCTTTCTTTCGTATGCAATATTCTGCCTGTGTGTGTGCCTGCCATCCTGAAGAGAGCACCAGACCTCATTACAGATAGTTGTAAGCCTCCATGTGGTTGTTGGGAATTGAACTCAGGGCCCTTGAAAGAGCAGGCAATGCTGTTAACCGCTGAGCCATCTCTCCAGCCCAGTATACTGTGGCATTTTCTTTCAAACTTATTTTATATAAAATGTGAAACTTTACAAAGAAATAACTATTGCTCTCTAAAGCTGAGTTTTATAAGCTTCCTGTGTGTTTGCTGCCCTGTTAATTATTACATTGCGTGTATTTATTTTACTTTATCTGTAATTACTTACTGCAAGTATGATTATAATTGCCCAGTAGCATTCTGTTATAAGTTGTATATTTTTAGGTAATCATTTACAGTTTTTATACATAAATGTGTAGTTTTACTTTTGACTATCATGTTAGAAGAAAAGTGTAACTGTTAGAGGCTATGAGCTAGTAGATCACTTTTGATTGTTTCAACAGCAAAGCTCTGTCAGACTATGTCTTCGCAGCAGTGACAGGCATGAATAGTTTGCTGTACTCATCATCAGAATATTAATGAAATGTTGTCAACTTAATATAAAAATTGATATATCTGTTTTAATTTGCATTTCTGTTGTTAGTGTAATATATTTATGAAGTCATTTAAAACAAGTTTACATTTCAGGAATTTATGCGAATGATTGGCAATGATAAACAAGGACAAATGATTGTGTTCCATTTGATAGAACTTCTGAAGAATAATGGAAGATTACCAAGACCAGAAGGGTGCCCAGATGAGGTAACAATTTTTAATTAATTAATTTCTCATGTATATGTGTGTGTGTGTGATGTGAATATGAGTGTCGTCTGTGTCTCTTTATGTGTCAGAAAGAGGTATGTGTGCATATGTGTGTTTGAGTGTGTGTGTTTGTGTGTAGGTGGTGTGTGTGTGAGAGAGCGCATGTGTGTACAAGTATACAAGCCACAGTGTCCATTGGAATCAGAGGAAAACTTTCTAGAATTGGTTCTTGCCTTCCACCTTGCTGAGAGAGTCTCTGTTGTTTCTCCAGTCTGCACTGTGCTCTCCAGGCTGATTGGTCCTCACTATTTTCCACGTGATTTTCTTGTCTGTCTCTTGTTCTGTGTTAGGAGTGCTGTTGTGCCTGGCTCTTGTGGGTCCCAGGGATTGATTCTTGTCATCGGGCTTTAATGTCTCGTTCTTTTTATCCACTGAGCCATCTCCCTGATCCAGCAGTTTTTTAATCCACAGTAATTACCCATTTTCTTTTGTTTTATTAAAAACATACAGATGATGTATTTCAAAGCATAACCCTAGCATTATTACTGGCTTAGGCAAATTAGCTGAGACTTCTAAATTCATATCATCCTCTCATTAGCATGAAATTTAGTGTTCATTCTAATTTTGTTTTAATTTTTTCCCTTTATAGATTTATGTGATCATGACAGAATGCTGGAACAACAATGTAAATCAGCGTCCCTCTTTCAGGGACCTCGCACTTCGGGTGGATCAGATCCGGGACAGTCTGGCTGCGTGAATGAGATGGCCTTTACTCAGAGACCAAGTAGACTTCCAGAATCAAAGTAAAGCTCTGTAGCCACATTGCTGTCGACCTTTATCCACGCATTTCTATCATAATGCTAGCCAGAAGATAATGTCAGGCTGTCTGCTCAGAACTTCGGAAATTTTATGAATTTTTTCATACACCATCTGTAAAAGACACTGCTAAACAGTCTTGCAAGAAGCTTGTAAAGAGCTGCATGGAGCTCACGGCACGGTCGTCACATCTCCTCCTCCGGCACAGGAGGAGAATAGACATTTTCAACTCAGCGTTTTGAAAAATGAAACAATTATAATGTAAATTTTGCAGTGTTAGAGATTCACACAACATACATGTACAGTTTTTACCACGTGGAGTGTACAATACTTTGGCATCTTGTGTGATTTACACAAGGGCTGGTGTTTATTAATGTTTTCTAATTTTTCCATAGTTGATCTATTATAACTTCATGATACAAATGAAAATGCTCAGAAAGTTGAATAAATACCTTTTTTTCTTGCTTCTGTGCTGCTGTGTCAGGGCTTGTAGTTCCATGTCACTGTAAATATTTTTCAAAGCAAAAGAAACAAAAGTATAGTTTTATTTGTATAGTAAATCTAACCCTAAAGACTTTTGAAATGGAACAATCTTTCAAAGACATAGCACAATCTATTTTCTTATTTGTTTTTCTTGTGTCTGTTTATGGTAATTGTGTTTTTACATAGAACCGTCTCCAACTTTTTCTATGACTGTAGTGACTAGTACTCTTTTATATTTTTGAGGTTTAAAGTGCCAGAAATACTTTGCTCCCTTGAACTGTTAACTGCCAATAAGACATTTCAATCCCTGCGACCTGTCACTATATATTGAAGTATAAGCCATAAATAATTTGTAAAATGTTTAAGCTCTTTAAGATGCATAATGGGTTAGAATATGAACAAAGACTGTGTGAGGGGTGGTAGGACAAATGTGCCTTCACCAGAGTCTCCCACGTGGACAGGGAGTGAGAGCCCGTCCACGAATGCCAGAAGTCTGCAATGTACATCGTTAGAAGAGGGGAGAGAGCGCGTACATATTTTCAAAGTATGAGTAATTGTTATCTACTTTAGTGCTGCTCCGTTTTAGACAATGTCATGTCAAAAAATAAAACAAGATTTTTGTGTGTTATTTATACAAGATTTTAAATATTTTGGTAATTTGTTTTAAAAATTCTCTATTTTCAGTGGTATATCCTATTTTTCCTGTACTTAAGAGCTTTGATTTTGCTGAAGAAGGAATAGCAAGAAATGCTCCTCACATTCTTTGCGACATTCTCATAGATAGCAGATACAGAGACCAGCTAGGGGAGTGAGACTCGTGGCTATTGTTTCTAAAAATTCTAATATTTTAATGGAAGTTAGATATATTTTATGTAATTTCTGAATCAAAATACAGTTGATACTAATTCTACAGCATTTCAGATGAAAGTTGTGTCACATAGTGTGATCCTGTTTTAGGATTTTTATAGTAAAACAGCAGATTTTTCAGAAAGGTCCATAATATTTTGCCTATTTTTAAAAATAGTGGTATGAACTACATTTTGTTAAGCTTTTTAAAATACTTGAATTTTTACTTTTAAAGAATCCCACATACAATCTTACTCGAAAATTTTAAGTTGTTAAGAGACTTCATTGAGAGTTGATAATTTTTTCAATCTTGATTTAAACAATACATATAAAGAAATTACTCCCAAGTTTAGCTGCTTGGTTCCATATGAGGACCAGGTGTCAGTTACAATAAAATGTTTCTTCAAGTTACTGTTTCTTAAAAATTAAGAAAAGGTTTCTCCAGAGTTCTATAGTTATGTAAATGTTTGATGGTGCTGTTTGATAATCATTAGTAAATAATCCCATATTACCATGGGTACTCGCTGTAGAAAATATTTATTTTTTTATGTTATATACATGCTGCCAGTAGCACCAAAAGAATTTACTCTGGAGGAGTAGCCTTCTTCCAGCCATTTTCTGCCTTAAAGTTAGTGAGCTTCTTATAGTAGTCACTTCTGATATGTAAGTTTTATCTAAATAGCTGTATTAAGTAATAGCGATAAGAAAATGTCTGGATTTCTGTATCTAGGGAGCCGTCCACCCCGGGGTCGCCTGTGTGCTCCACATGTTGGCTACTGATTACTTCATTGGACCGTTGAGTGTTCCCACAAAATAGGAAGGCTGCTATAATAGTATAATAAATTATTTTCTTTTGTGTAGTCACCCAGCCAATCACAGTTGTACGTATAGATGAAAGTGTTTTTCACCAAAGAATAAGAGAATGATATTTTTATTTAATTTAACTTTTTATCGGGCAGTGGTGTTTCTCAGTGATGGAGCCCTATTGTTTTGAATTGCATCACTCTTATGATTTAAAATGCTGATTTTTTTCCCCAGTGTATACATTGACCATTTATACTTTGTTTTGAGAACTATTTATTTGTTTAATTTACCTGGATAATTATTGACTGAATAATTTGTTTTCTGGTGTTTATTTTTTAGTTGCTTGGATATTAATCCCATCAAATAGCTGACAAAGACTTCCTTCTACTCTGTAGACTGTCTCTGATTTATTTTGAATTGACTTGTGCAATTTACAAAAAGGGATTCATCTTCCTAGGTTTAGCTCCTGGGTGTCTAGTTTTATCAGCAACTGCCTTGAGGAATCTATCCCCCTAGAGTGTGCATTTGGTACCTTTTGTAAAGATCAGGTTGCTGCTACTGTCTCTGGTATCATCTGGAATTAGGTCATTTGGTGAGGACTGCATTGAATCTGTAGATCACATTTGCTAATTTGTCAACTGCACAATAATTCTTAAGCTCCATGAACATGGGAGGCTCTGCTATTTTCCTAACTTCTTCAGGGCTTGTAGTTATAATTGTTGAGGACTTTAACATCTTTGGTCAGTTTGGTTTTGAGGATGTTACAAGGAGATTGGCTGCTGAATTATTTTTAAGCCAGTTTCTTACTGGTGTGTGAAAAACCGCTGATTTTATGTCTTGTTCTTTTACTGAATTGTTTGCTAGAAGTGAGGTTCTTTATGAAATCTTTAGAATATCAGATCATGTACTCTGCCGACAGGGGTATTTTATATCTATGCCTGTTGCTATCATTTTATTCCTATCTCTCTATTGCTCTGGCTAAGCATTTGAGAATTATAAGCTCTACTCTTGAATAAGACTGGGAACTGATACCTTTGTGCTATTTCTGATTTTAGAGGAAACACTGTTAAGTTTTCACCGTTAAGTAGAAACCACAAATACATTGCCTTTCGTATTAAGGCGTAATAGTTCTGTTTCTTTAGGACTTATGTCATAAAAAGATGTTGAATTTTGTCAAAGATTTTTTTCTCCATCTAGTCTTTTAAGCTTGTTTTTATGAGTATTTACCTGCATTTATATATATGCACCACGAGTTCCTGATACTCTCAGGGGCTAGAAGAGGGTGTCATATCCTCTAGAACTGGAGTTATGGACAGTTGTGTGCTGACATGTGGGGACTGGGAACTGAACCTGGATTCTCTGTAAGGGCAGAAGATGGTCTTATCCACTGAACAATCTCTCCAGATCCTATGTTATGATTTTAAAAACTATTTTATTGAGAATTTTATACAATATATTTTGATCATAATCACCCGAGCCTCCTTTTACCAGCCTCACCTCCTTGCCCCTCCTCTCCTCCATCAAGTCCAGTTTGTATTACCCAGCCACGTTTGGGACTATATAGTGAAACTGATGGCTTTTTTTTCCCTTCAGGTAGCATAAATATCACCTCCCAGAGCAAGGAAACTGTAGGGATAGAACTTCTGGGTGAGTCCCTGCGTGGTTCCTCAGTGCTCTGTCAGTCCAGGTTGTGGAGTCTGCAGTAGGTGGGGTCTTACTATCAACTTCTGGAGGGTTACCAAGAGTGTTGGCAGTAGCCTGTAATGTTGGAGGGAGGACTATCTATGGGATCCCATTTGTCAATAACTTACAAAGAAGTGAGCTTCTCCTGGTAGTGGGTTTTCTTGGTATTGGTTTTTTGTTTGTTTTTGCTGGTATACTAGTTTGGCGTATTATCCTTGTAGTACAGCTTCATTAAAACTTTTTAAAATGTGTATATATTTAAGAAGCTTTTACAGTAGGCTTTCATATAGCTTTTTCAAAAGGTTTTTAGTTTTCTTTCTGCATATTCCTTCCCCTAGCCTGCCCTTTAAGATCTTGGGGGTGTGCCTGCCTTCCTGCCTTGTTTGCCTGTCTACTTTTTATCTGGTTTTGGTGTCAGAGTAATAGTGGGTTCTTAGAATGTATTTGGAAGGATTTCTTACGTCCCTGATTTATAGAAGTCTCACCATATAGTCCTGACTGGCCTACAGCCTGCTATATAGAACAAGCTGGCCTCAAACTCAAAGATCCACCTGCCTTTGCCTACCAGGTGCTGGGATTAAAGACGTGCCACCATACCTGACCCCTACATGCCATAGGCAAGTTGAAAGGACAACTTGTAGGAATAAGTTCTCTCCTTCTACCATATGAGCTCCAGGGATCAAACCCAAGTGGTCAGGCTTAACAGCAAGTATCCTGACCCAAAGAGCCGCCTCACAGGAGAGCTCATGTGAAATAAAACAACAGGAAAGGCAGAAAAGGAGAAAACTAAAAGCTAGAAGAAACATCCAACCTAACGGATGTGCAAATCATAGCAACAACAAAAAGTAAACACACAAAACGGCTCAACAAATCATGACAGCACTCTCTTAAGCTCACAGTGCCTCCACAGTGGAGCTCGTGGCTAACGAGATAGATGCCAAAAAAAGATTTCAGAGTCATACTTTTTTCTTAAGAAAGATCAGTGACCATATACAGACTAATGAAAGAAGTAAGGAAATCAGTTCAGAATCTAACCAAAGTGGGACAATGGGCAATACTTTGAAGCAGAAATTGAGAAACATGGCAGAAAATTTAAATGAGGAAATAGGGACTCTGAACAAGAACCAAACAGGATTTCTATAAAAGAAGGAATCGGTGAAACGAAAAGCATCAACAGACAAAACCAAGCAGAAGTACAAGTTGTCGAGATAAACATGGCATAAAGATAAAGCACAGGTAGCTTATTCAGTGAAATCACACCAGCAGGTTTCCTAAAAACAGAGAGAAGAGGACAACCAAATACAAGAAGCATTTTGTTTTTGATTTTTGAGACAAGAGCTCACTCTAGCACTGGCTGGCCTGGAACTCACTATGTAAACCAGGTTGCCATTGAATTCACTGCAGTCTGCCTGCCTCTACGTCTGTAGTGCTGGAATTAAAGGCAAGTACCACTATACACAGCACAAGAGGTAATCTGAATATCAAGTAGGCATGAACAGAAATGAACCTCTCTCCAATATATAGTCAATCAAGATGCAAAAAAAAACCAGTAAAATCTGTAAGAGAAAAGTACAAACTCATAAGAGCAACAACATCAAAATAACACCAGATCTCATTAGTAGCATTAAAGCAAGAATGCACAGAATGACATATTTTGATCCCCGTTAGCCAAGATTTTTATACCTCT